CCCCAAAACCCCAAAACCCCAAAACCCCTTTTAGCAGGTTAGAAATTGATAAAAATTAGGAAAATGAACAATAAAATATGGATCCTGTCAGGCCTGGGTGCCTGTCTGATAGTCCTGCTGATTTTATACCTTCTTTATGCTATTTTTACAACCTTGGCTTTCTTCATTACAGGGTTTGGAGCATGAATGCTGTACATTTGGGCTATGATTTACCTGGTCAGATATGTCATCCGCTCAATGGTGTTCCCAGGCAGCAACTTTTTGGTCCAGAAAACGATTGAGTATAATATCAGAGAGAGCATTACGAGGCTGATTCTTAGAAAAGTGGGAAACCTTAAGTACACTCTTGAGGAAACCAGCTTAAATGATGAACTGAATGAAGACAATGTAGCTGAGCTGAAGAACAGCATATCTGACTTTAAGAAGATGGCTGAAGTGATCGTTAATAATTGTGAGAGGCAGAAAGATCTTCAAATAATTTCTGCTGACCAGAAGGCTTTCCAGTTGAAGCTCGAAGAACTCAAAAGGAATATTTCCAGTATCCATTTGTTGAAGCCCAATGAAAGTATGACTACTATTAGCATTTGGGAAGTTGGAAGTCACTCTGTTGAGGAACTGATCGGATGAGCTTATAGTGATAATTTACGCTTCAAAATTAGCACCCTAGACTTATTCACAGATAACCTTTCTACAATTATGGGTATTGAAACAGATCCTGGATGAGCACAAGAGTCTAAAATTGACTTCTCAACTATTAAGAGATGGCTCCAGAGTTTACATATATATTTGAGTAATAAGTCCTATGGTCACTTGGATTACACTAGAACCCATTTAGAAGTATCTGGCCAATCCTCTGACCCTCCGAGCTCTTGAAGTGATGAACAAATGTCTCACAATCAATGATACATAGTTTTGAGCTTGAATTCCTGAAAATGTAAGTACTAATAAATAGAAATTATGAACATTTATATAAGTTTAACTAGAATTAAAGGGCTCAGTTAGTGAGCAAAAGAAAATCAAGCAGATTAGTATAAAAATCAATCTGGCATCAACTTATGTTCAACAATGATTATGGGAAGTACAGAAGAAGCATCTAATTTTGGGATAGAGGTCTTTAAGATATACTAGAGTTAGAGCAACAATGTTAATGGCACAAGTTGGAATTTATGTAAAAGTTTATGAAAAACCAGAGATTTTGAGTGAAGATATACAAAATCTATCAAGAGCTTTATAGGAGCACAAGGATGTCTCATTGAACATCTCATTCCTATTTTCCTCCCTTTAGTATACCTCCTACTTCAGTAGTTAAATACCTAAATATGATTTTTTGTGAGAATTCCTTAAAAATGTGTCTCGATTTTTACTCTAAATTAAAAATAAAATTTCGTATCAGAGCCATCAAGAATTCGTAACAACTTCTGACGGAGCGAGGTTAGACACAATGTGGGTTGAAAACAAACTCAATGAGGGAAATAGGCACGCTCCAGCAGTCATGATCTGTAATCCTAACTGAGTCTATTATGAGAACTTCGGAATATATGAAGACCAATTCTTCAACTTCTTCCTAAGGAATGGCTTCAATGTATTTCTTTGGAACTACCGAGGATATGGAAGATCTACAGGATCTATCTCACCTGATAGTTTCTTCGAGGATGCTGATCATTTGGTACAGTATCTAGTTAACATTAGAGGAGTGACAAGACTGTTAGTCCATGGCTCCTCTCTTGGAGGAGCCATCGCTTGCCATCTTGCGAATAATCCTAATGTAGAAGCTGTGTTTGCAGATCGCACATTCTCTTCTCTAGATAGTGTTATCAGAGACGACTTCGGTCCGACTTTAAGGTTCCTGTACAACCTGTTTACAGTAGGGCAATGGAAAATGAAGGTTTCCCAGAAATATTTAATGAGTGATAAGTACAAGATTCTTTCAGCGGATCCTCAGGATTCACTGATCCCTGATCTATCATCTCTCAAGAATGGAGTTGCTCGTGCTTCTCTCCGCTATGATCTTGGTAAAAGTTCCCGAGCGAAGCCTGGGAGCTTCTTTGATGTCTGAACTATTATAAATAAAGAAGAGACAGATGCAATATTCGGAGTTCTGAAGGAAATTTTCATGCTAAACTTCACTAAAATAAAGGAAGAACATAGCAAAATTGTTAAAGCTCATGAAGATAATGATGAGGAGAAGATGTCAATAGTCGAGCTCGACTATGTATGTGACGAAGACTCAGCAGGCGGCAGCCATCTGGCTGTCCCTGGAGGTGTAGGCTCTGTAATGAATCCACAACTTTGTATTGCCAAATCTCAAGAAAGGATTGGCCTAGATGGAACTGATAAAGTAGAAGTCCTTGAAATCTTTGAAAAAGAGTATGCAGAAGTTGTCAAAAATGAGATGGAGATTTTCAACAAAAGTAAGCAGAAATGTGGTTATGGCAGCCTCCAAAAATGGGCCTTGGAGAACTACTCCCAGTGAGAAATTATAGAGTTATGGCTTCGACAAGTTAAGAAGATTCTCTGAAGGCAGGATAGTAGTGGGCTGACATTTTACAATATTTTCCAGCGAAAGGAAAACATTCAATATAAGATGTTCAAGCAGTTTTTGATCAACCTTGAGATCTGGGGAAGCTATACAGGCCTTCCAGTCAGCAACCAGGGGTTTTATGATGTTAAGGTAAGCCTGAATGTGTTCCTCCTAATCTCTTCATACAGAGCGCCAAACGGATGTCTGAACTACAACTACACGACATGCTAGAAGGACTTCATGCATTAATCAGATCCTTAAAAAGTGAAAATTTAGCTGTCAGCCAACTGCTGGCAGACAAAATCGGAGCTTTGGGGTATTTCTTTACCAAAATATCCAAGCATCTGGGGTCAGAACTTGAGAAGGAAAGGACTAAATTCTTTGACAGGCGAGATGACGAGGATATTTTCGAAAATGAGATTCTTGAGATAAAGCGAAACACCAAAACTACAGCAGAGGATGAAGAATCAGTCAGCTTCCTTGACATCTCCAAAACTGGTGAAGATAGCATCGGAATGCTCATTCCTCTAAAATGTGGTCATAATGGCAGCTATAGCAATGCAGAGATGAGCATCTATAAAAGCCATCTGAAACAAATCTTTGAGCATCTGAGGGATACCTAATTTGGTTTCAATTATTCAAAGAATTATGAATCATATTGATAAATTATGAAATGAGCTTCTTTAGCCTAGATAGTGGGATAGCAATTATCAAGTTTTATGTCAAGCTACCCTTTCAACGAATCTCAATACAAAAGGGGTTTTGGGGTTTTGGGGTTTTGGGG